AGAGAGAGAGAGAGAGAGAGAGAGAGAGAGAGAGAGAGAGAGAGAAACTAGTTAACCTTCAAAATACCTTGCTAGAGGGAGAATTGTGGCAGTGGAATTGGAACCCAATGCTCATAACTCTTGTCACTCATGTCCATGGATTGTGTAGTCTACTCCTGTGAGTAGGACTTAGAACATGGCAGGTGATACTTCTGAATCATGTTGTATTTTATAAGAAAGGCAAAGGTACTGGGCAGTTAACTAAGTCTCTCATAAGTTTGATGTATGCTGATTTTGAATCTGAGTTCATCAAAGTGAAGAGTGTTTATATCAGCCTTCCTGTTTTTAAATGATCATTTACTATATTTATTCAAATTTGTACTCTCTGTTGATTTTAGATTTAACAGTGTTTTTGTTTTAGTTTTTTGCCCAAGGTGTCCATTTTTTTTTACCATGTCAACAGTATCTGGGGTCCCTCTTCTCTGTCTTCTGCTCTGTTGGTAAAGCTTAAAATTAATACTTTAATTTTCTTCCCTAAATTTTTCATTTCTAGTTTTATCTCATGTCATGTTTTCTTTAGTGTTTCTATTTCTACTTGCATGTCTTCAGCTGTTTTCTTCATTATATTACACTGTTTGTGTATGTTTTCACAGGCTTCTTTAAGGGACTTAGTTATATCCTCTTTAGGATCCTTGGTCAAGTTCATAATTATCTATTTTTATGCCCTTGTCTTGTGGTTCAGTTGCATTGCATTTTCTGTTGTAGAAATACTGGGTTCTGATACATGCATATTTTCTTTCCTATCAATGCTTGTGTTTATGTATATGTTGAGGATTGAGATATAATTTTTCTATTTTAGTATCTGGTATTTTCTTTATTCAGTAGATATTTTTCCCATGGTTTCTGCTGAACTCTCTAGATCTTAGTGACGTATGGGCTTGACTGTATGTTAGGCAGTGCTTCTATGTGCCAAAGTGTGACAGACAGGAGTAGATGTGGGTTAGGTGAAAAGGCTGAGAAAGACTTCAGTAGCAAGCTAAGAGGATCCTGTTTGCAGCTGGAGGTAGGATCCATTGAGAGTTGGAGTGTGATGGGAAGAGGGGTTCCTGAAGTAGTAGTAAGGCAAAGTGTTGTGTGGCGATATGCGGATGGAAGGGCTAGAGACCCTGGGTCTGAACCAAGAGTTGCAGTGTCTTGTAACTGAAGTTGAGGAAGGGACCTGTAAGCAGGTTGGTGCCAGGCTTATCACAGGAATAAAGAGACTGTAATGGAGAATAAGAAGAGTGTGAATAACTTACCTGAGATCCTGCCAGTGTGGTCACTTGGGTAGAAATTATTTTTATGTATTGCCGGGTAATACTAAGGAAAGGGAATGGACTAGAGTGGATACTAAGATGGTCCACAGGTATGAGGGAAACTGCAAGTTTTGGTGGAATCCATGAGGGATAGAGGAGGAAAGGAAAAACAAGCCCATTATAAGTAGCTGTGGAGTCTGAATCCACTTGGGCACCAGATGAAGATGCCACTTAAAAGAAAATCCCACATTAGCTCAGAATTGAGAATAATAGATGGTTATTTATTTAGGGGTAGACTCACGAATCAATATTCTCTGCTGGAATGGAGAAGAGCAATCGAATCCCACAGCTGGAAAAGAGAGAGAGCAGATACACACTATACAACCATATAAATAGTATAAGAGGCCATACCCGAGTGGGCAGGCAACTTAATGTCTATTGGCTGTAGGATTTTCTAGAGCAATGGTCTGCTAGAGGTCTGAAGATGGCACCATGGGAGCTAAAATTAGGAGACAAAGGACATTGATGATGCCCTATCTGTTTCCCCAGCCTGTGTGTACACTGCATTCCCAGTGTACAGTGTACAGATAGACAGTGTTTGTAGTTTTTCACAGTTGAGACAAAGAAAAGGAAATGGGCTAGAATCAGAGGGTTCTGGGAGAGTCTACAGGAAGGAAGAAAGATGGATTTCTTATAAGGGTTGTCAGAAGCTCTAGGGAATTCATCACCGCTCTTACGTCAGAAATTCAGTCAAGATGCTATGGAGTGTGTGAAATGGATGGTGCCATCCTCAAGACCAAATGACTTCTGAAAACTTTCCTAAGAGTAAGCTATGTGTATTTGTGATTTCAGGACAACATCTCTGGAAATTAAGTTACATGAGTAAAAACATTGTATTTTTATTGTCGAAAAGAACTCACTGAAACAGAAAAAAATATTTTTATTGCCACACAAAGCCTATGAAAGACTTGAAAAAATGCATTCCCCAAGTATCATAACTGTATATTATGTATCAAGGATACATATTGACTGTATCTGAGAAAAGGAAGAGATGTTTGGTGAGTAATCCAAGCATTCTGAGATATGGTAGTGGATTAGGGAACAGGTCAAGACAGAAGAAACGTTGTAACACACATGAACATATCACATATATATTTACATATGAAAGCATAATATATTTACATATTTATAGTAGAATGTGCATGCCATGTTAGATTTAAATATAAGAAGCAAATTCACCAGTGTGTACAAATACCATTCTTGATCTCTCAACACTAAAACCCACATGACCTGACATATTTCTGTTTTTATGTGTCTGAGTCCCTCCATAGGTCAGAGAACATGAATGCAGAGGCTTCTCTGGTTAAGAGTACAACCACTAGGTGGGAGTAGACTCACTTCCTTGTATGCTGATTGTGCAGGCTTAGGGCAGAAGCACAGCCCTTTTCTCAGTGACTGAGTAGATAACTCAAGAGGAAGAATTGTTCTTAAGAAAGAACAATAACACAATAGCTGTAGTTGACCTCCTAGATATCACAATTATTCCCTGGATTTTAATTTAATTGGAAGAACAATGAAGACATATGTCCCTACTTTATTCATATTCTTGTGGCTGCAACTGGATGGTGAGTTAAGATTTTAAGACCTTTGAACACTCAGTGGGTATTTATGAGATATCCAAGAGGAACTATATTTTGTTCAACTTTTCTCTACTGACTGTAGAAAAAGGGAATTCTGGAAAGTGATGACCTGACAACTGTTCTCTTTTCTCTCCATCTTTCTGCATAGGGCTGAGCCAAGGTGAGCAGGTGGAGCAGCGTCCTTCCACCCTGAGAGTCCAGGAGGGAGCCAGTGCTGTCATCAACTGCACATATGTAGACAGTACCTCGTCCTACTTTCCTTGGTATAAGCAAGAACCTGGGAAGCATCCTAAGCTAATTATTGACATTCGTTCAAATGTGGAAAGAAAGCAGGACCAAAGACTGATTCTTTCACATGATAAGAAAGCCAAACACCTTTCTCTGCACATCACAGACACCCAGCCTGGAGACTCTGCCATGTACTTCTGTGCCGCAAGTGCACACTGCTCTCCAGGCACCTGCAGCCTGTCCTAAAACCTGCCACAGTGCCTGGAGCCCCATCCACATCCTGTGTAACAGGCCTTGCAGTGCAGCATGTGCAAGTTGTTAGTTTGCAAGTGACAACTAGAGTATAGATATTAAAAACACAAAATAATAAAGTTAGCTTCAAGTCACTCAAAACAATTTAGAAGAGTTTTTTTAATTTTCTTTAAAAAGTTCAGTTGCAGTGTTTTGATTTTCCTTTCCCTTTCTTCCTTCCAACCCCTTCTATATATCCTGTTCCTCAATCCCTCTAAATTGCATAGTGTTTTTAACTACTATTAATATTTATTATTAAGTTATTATTTTAAAATTAACTTATTATCTTTTTAACTATTATTACATTGTGTGTAGATGTAATTAGCTCTGTTTGATTATTGTTGTTTGTATGTATATAATTTTAGGACTGACAACTTGATATTGGATGGCCAATTAGGGGGATTATCCTCAGGGATGAAAAATTTTCTTCCTCTCCCTAAATTGTGTGTAGTTTTTGTCTAGAGATTGGGCCACCATGAAATTTAAGCAGCAAGATAGGAGATGAATATCAAAGGGATACAAATAGGAAAAATAAATCAATTTATTATCAGGTGATATGATGTTCTACCTAAGAGATCCAAAACACTCTACCAGAAATTTCCTACAAATTATCAATGAGTTCTGCTACATAGTAGGATACCAAATACACCTACAAACATCAGGAGACTTTCTATACATTACCAATAAACATGCTGAGAAAGAGATTATCCACACATACCCATTCACTACAGCTTCAATATTAAAATATCTAGAAACAAACCTAATAAGGGAAGTTAAATACTTTTTCAAGAAAACCTTTAAATCTCTGAAGTAAAAGGCTGAGGAAGATACTAGAAAATGGAAAATTCTCTCCTGTTCATGAATTAGTAGAATTAATGTTGTAGAAATGACCACTTTACTAAAAGTGATTTAAAGATTTAGTACATTCCCAATTGAACCCCACAACGTCCTTCACAGAAATAGAAAATAAAACACCTATATCCATATGGAAGAACTCAGAACATGAAATAGACAAGACCAAAAGAGAAATGCTACGCAGCATATAATAGTTAAAGCATTAATTAAACATAGAAAAGAAAGTATAATGAAAACTTGCCGTGACAAAAAACATAGATCACATTTAAAAACAGAAATTGATATTAATCTACTAATAACTGGCAATTTCAGTACCCTACTTTCTTGGATAAAGAGTTGACCTGGACAAAATATCAAAAGAGAAACCATTAGAATAAATTGAAATTCTACACCAAGTGGATTGAACAGATACTAGCAAATACTCTATCCAAATGGCAAAGAATGCATAATCTATTCATCAGCATATTGAAGATTTTCTAGAACGGACCACATCCTAGGACTTAAAAAAAATCTTTACAAATTATAAAATTTTAAATTATTCCTTGTATTCTATCTGACAACAATGCAAAAACACATACACACAAATGCATATATACATATATATAAACATATATAATATATAAATATACAAACATGTTTTTATATATATGTTTATATATATGATAGAATTTTATTTTTTCTATATCTGAAGAGAGTCCTATTGTGTATATTTCTTGTACTTCTTTTTACCCCATACAATGCACCTCAATCACACCTGATTCCCATTCCTTCCAAATTCACCCTCTTACCCTGTACCCTGCTCCTAAAAATAAAAAAAAATTACACCAAATTTAAATTGTGTTGCTCATATACTCATTGCAGCATGGTCAATCTCCCACCTGCCAGCCCCTTAAAGATAATTGAGTTCTGTCTCCAACCTCCAGAAGCCGTCAACTGTGAAGAGAAAACTTCGACATCTTTATAACAATTATTAAGGACTCCCTTCAAAAGCTTCTTGTATGTCTTTCTTTTGGGGGTAGAGAGTAGGGAGAGGTTGTCACAGAAGCCTTCAATGTCTCTCATTCTCAGTTATGAGTCAGTAGCTGTAGACACAACAGCAAAAGAAGCTTCCCTGCCCATAACCACCAGTAGCAGCACAAATCACAGACTTCTGGCAGCAGCATGGACTACAGACATTATGTTAAATGAAATAAGTCAATCACAGAAAGACCATATTGCATAGTCTCTTTCATAAGTAGAATAGAACGTTGATATCAGTGAAGTTGAAAATGGAATGGTTGTTACCAGAGTCCTGGGAGAGCAGAAGGATGAGATGAGGAAGACAGATGTACATATGTGAGCACTAAGAGTAAGGAGTTTTCATGTGCTACTGCACTGTAAGGAGACTAAAGTTGTCAAGCATGTTTTACATACTTCAAAAGTACAGAAGAAAGGATTTTGAATTTTTTTTACCATAAAGAGATGAAAAATATTTGAGGAGATACATATATGTTCAATGGAATAGAACAATATATACATGTATTTTATAATCTTTGTTTTTATATGAGTAAATATATAATTAAGTAAAAACTAAAATAATAAGTAAACTGCTCAGTTTCAATTCAATTCACCCTGCAAAATAAAAAATTCCAGTAAACAGACAAATACATGTATATTAGGCAATTAATTATTAAATGATGAAGAAATCAGAGAAGAAATTAAGAAAAGAATTTCTTTGAGCTAAATAAAACTACAAAAAATACAACAAAACATTTTGAGACTCATTGAAAGTAGTACTAAGATATAATTTTACAACTCTATGTACCTGCATTAAAATAAAGAAAAAACACAAATAAATGGCTTAATTATTAAACTCAAAAATTTTAAAAAGAATAAGGAAAATCCACAACCAGTTGATGACAATAAATAATAAAAAGCAAGAGCAGAAATCAATGAAATAGAAACAAAGCAAACAAAAAAAGAGTCAATGTATCTAAAAGTTTGTTCTTTTTTTTGATTTTTTTTAAAGTAATTTTATTAAATTATAAAAGTTTCCATTTACGCCCCTCTTCCCAACACCCTCCCACTCCCCCCCTCCCTCTCCTCCTCCCTCTTTGTCCCTAAGGGCAGTCAGGGTTTCCTGCCCTGTGGGAAGTTCAAGTTCCTCCCTCCTCCCTCCAGGTCCAGGAAGGTGAGTATCCAAACAGACTGGATCCCAAAAATCCAGTATATGCAGAGGAAACTAGTCCCAGTGTCATTGTCAATGGCTTCTCAGAAAGACTCCAGGCCAGCCACATTCAGAGAATCCGGTCACATTCAGAGAATCTGGTTGGATCACGTGCTCGTTCAGTCGCAGTCCAACTGGCCTTGGTAAACTCTCATTAGATTCGACCCCTTGTATCAGTGGGTGATAGCTTCCCTCGCAGTCCTTCGTCATTTTCTTGGTCCTTCTGCTCCTCATTTGGATCTTGGGGGGCTCAGTCCGGTGCTCCAATGTGGGTCTCCGTCTGTATCTCCATCCAACGCCAGATGAAGGATCTATGGTGATAAGCAAAATATTCATCAGTATGGTTATGGGCCAAGGCCGGTTCAGGCACCCTCTCCTCTGTCCAGAGAACAATCTGGGGATCACTCCTTGGACCTGGGATCCCATATATAATCAAGTTTCCTGAAGACTGACAGATGAACAGGTCTCTGGCCCAACTCAACAAAAGAAAAAAAGAAGCGACCCAATTTATTAGTATCAAAAGTGAATAGGAAAACATGACAACAGATGCCAAAGAAATTCAAAGTATTATGAGGTAATATTTTAAACACTTATACTGCATTAAGTTGGAAAACATAGAAGAAACACATTAATTTCTAGATTTAACCAAACCATCAGATTAACAAAGAAGTCAACAACCTAATCAGGCAAATAACAAAAGAGGAATTTGCAATAGTAATGAAATGTCTCTAAGCTTTAAAAAAACTTCAGAACAGATGTACTGATAGCAGAATTCCATTGGAAATTCAAAGAATATCTATAGCTAGTCTTTCTTAAACAACTAAAGAAAATACAATGAAAATAATCATTCCTTAACTCCTTTTTTGAAGCCACTATTTTTCTGATACCAGAATCAGGCAAAGATACAACAATAAAAAATAAAGCTACAAGACAATATCCCTGATAAAGATAGGCTTAAAATTACATTTTTTTTAAAAAATTTATTAGATTCTTTAAAAAAAATACCAATCCAAATTCCCACTCCCCACTCTCCTCCCGTTCCCTCCATACACCCTCCTACCCCACCCCCTCTAATCCTTTGCATTGTGGAAGGTCCAAGGCCCCCTACTACATCTAGGCTGAGCAAGGTATACATCCAAAGAAAATAGGATCCCAAAAAGCCAGTACATGCAGTAGAGACAAATCCCAGTGACACTGTGAGTAGACTTGACACTATCACCACACTGGCTTTATCTTTGGATGCAGGTATGATTCAAAATACACAAGTCAATTAATGTAATAAAACACACAAATGAATTTGAAGACAAAAAAATCACTTGATCATCTGATAAACACAGAAAAGGCTTTAACAAAATCCAACATATCCTCATGATAAAAGTCCTAGAGAATGTAGGGCTAGAAGGAACATACCTAAACACGATAAAAACTATACATGAGAAACCCACACCAATATCATCATAGATGGAGAAAAGCTTGAATTATTCCCTTCGGTGTCAGGAATGAGAGAGGGATTTCCACTAGCCCCATTCCTTTTCACATTGATCTGGAAGTAATAAATCAAAAGAAGGAAATTTAAGGGATACAAAGAGGGAAAGAAGAAGTCAAACTATCCATATTTACATATGATGGAATAGTACACATTAGTGATCTCAAAATTGTACCAGAACGCTTGTAGATATGACCAAATCATTCACCAATATGGCACTATACAAAATCAACTTGTAAAATCAATAGACTTGTATATCCCACTAACAAATAAACAGAGAAGCAGATCCTGGGCACATGCTCATTCTCAATAAGAAAAGAAAATATCTGTGAATAAACCTAACCAAGTAAGTGAAGGAACTCTATGCAGGAAACTTAACCACTGAAAAAGAGATAGAGAAAATCACTA